AACTTCCCTTCCCAAATACCATGCCTCCCCCTCCCCGTTTCAATGGCAGCCGAAAGCAAGTAGCGAAACAGAGGCTGACACTGCTTCTCTCCAAATGTTCCAGTGGAAGAAAATATGTGTAGATCAAGCTTGAATTATTGGTTCCTTGATGCCTTCCGAGCTTGGTTCTTTTCTTGCAAATCTTCCATTACCGGGCTAGGTAACAACATCAACGCCCCTCAAGAAAACTTCCCTGCTATGATGAGATACAGGTAACAACCACAAGTGGGATCGGAATTTCTTTTGCTAAGCAAAGCAGTTGTTGAGTTACACTCGATTTTCCAACTTTTTTTTTGGCCACAGCAGTTAAGCAAATCACTGCAATTATTAAGAGAATGGTCATTAAGCAAATCTGGCTCTCCCCCCCCCCCTGTTGGAAGCAGGCTGGGACGCTCACACATGGCGACCATAGGCGTTGGTTGCCAAGCACCTAAGTTTTGATCACATGATTTGGGGCGAAGCTGTGAGGGTCATAAGTGCAAAGAGTGATTGCAAGTCACTTTTTTCAGTGTTGTTGTAATTTTGGTCGCTAAAAAATGTATGGCTGTACGTCGAGGACTATTCCAAATTAAAGAGACATGGAGGAGACCCCACGAATCCTTATTTCACTCCTTGCTTGTTGTGAACTACTCAAATTCTCCAAATTCACTTTTTACAATAGCTTCTTGTTCATTATCCCTCAGGAGAATATGTGTCCTGTTACATCTATTAGTTTTACTATATTCCTCATTCTGGCATGAACTTCAAACAGATTTTGTACTGGTCTATTTGTTAGGCCCATACCCCAACTTTCTTATTTGTACAACTCAAGAAAGCACACGTAACACTCGCTCCGACAACAGCCCTTGTAAACTCTTGAGGAAAATTTACACTCGCTGGCTCAGTTTTGGCAAGCAGCTACTCAAAGCTTGAGCAAGTTGCATCTAGACAAGAATCTCTATTGAATACCAAAATAAGCGGTTGGTTGCCTCTGCCTATGGGAGAATGCAGTTTCTCTCTCATACTCATTTCAATTTAAATCCACTTTTTGAACAGTTTAATGGCTTCTTGCATTGCTCAACTCGACTTGGTGCTGGATGTTTTGTTGGTAGTTGTCTTAATCAGTTTCCCCCCCCACAGTTAAACTTCCAAATGTGTAATTCAGGCAATTCTATACAAAAAGGACTTTTGTTTTTGTCTAAAAAAAAAACAAGAAGAGAAGAGCTGACATCTGTGATATTTATGTTTTAAAAGCTTGTATTGGGAAAAGTTTACAAATATGACATCAGGAACATTTGTGTTAACAAAGTGTTTCTCTGGGAAATTCCATTACAAACCATGCACATTAAGGTTGTGTACAAAAAATATTTTGATATTTTGGGGAGAGTTACATGTGTAAACAGACGCAAATCATCCCAGGATTGGCCAACTGAGGGACATTTCTGGAAAACCCTTTAAAACTCCAGATAAATTAGATCCTTTAGATCAGGAGTCCCCAACCTTTTGGACTTCAGGGACCACTAAATTCATAATTTTAAATCCCGTGGACTACTAATATGAGCTGCGCAATGACCAGTTGGCTGGGTGTGGCTAGGTGGCCATGTGACTGGGTGGGCTTAGCCAACTCAATGTCACTCACGACAAGGGGCACCTCACCAGCCTCTACTCACCCTTCCCCTCCCAGCCACTCCTCATCTGCCCACCCGGGCTTCTTAGGGCCCCAACAGGAAGCAGTTGTTGGAGCTAAGCAGCCACCATGAGAAACAGTTGGCAAAACAGCTAGCTGTTCAAATTGGATCTGACGGAGGAGGAGGCTCAGCAGAAGCACCTCACTGAGGACTAGGAGTATAGGCTTTCCAAGTAGAGTGAAGACCTGCGGGAGTGCAAGGCCAGGATGCTCAGTGGGCTGAGATGATCAGCCAGTTCCAGACCATGATGCTGTCCTACTGCAACAAGGCCCTCTGGCTCTTCATCACCAGCGGCACTTCCCTCCAGCCTT